AAAATGAAAAGACCACCTACAAAATACGTAATAGGTGACAACCATTTATCTGATACAGCTTTGATATCCAGGACACATATACAAAGAACTACAACTCAACAGCAAAAGGAAACAAATGAGTAAAGGACTTAAATAGGCATTCCTCCAAAGAAGATATACAAATGGAAAATAACCACATGAAAACACGTTCAATGTCATTAGTTGCCATAAAGACACCACTGAGTCATAGCAACTCTGTATACAACACAGCAAAATGCTGCCTAGACCTGAGCTATCTTCCCAGTCGTTGGTATGCTCAAGTCCATTGTGGCCACTGTGTGTATTCTGAGTGCCTTCCAACCTAGGAGCTCATCTTCCAGCATTCTATTGGATAATACTTTGTTTTGATCCATAAGATTTTCATTGGCTAATTTTTGGAAGTAGATTGTCAGGCCTTCTTCCTAGTCTGTCCTAGTGTGGAGGCTCTGCTGAAACTGGCCCACTATGAGTGACCTTGCTGGCATTTGAAATACTAGTGACATAGGTTCCAGCATTATAACAACATGCAAGTCACCACAGTATGACAAACTGACAGAAAGGTGGTGGCAATCAATAGTCATTAGGGAGAGGCAAATCAAACCCACAAGGCAATACCCCATCACATCCACTAAGATGGCTATTATCAGAGTAATGAACAATAAGTGTTGATGAGGATGTGGAGAAATTAGAGTCCTTACACATTGCTAGTGGGAATGGAAAGTGGTGCAGCCACTGGAAAACTGCTTGGAAATTCCCCAAAATGTTAAATAATTACCCTATGATCCAGTATTCCCAGGTATATACCCAAAAGACTTGAAAGCAAGGACTCAAGGAGGTATGTTCATTGTAGCTTTATTTACAATAGCCAAAAAGTGGATGACCATCAACTGATGAATGGGTAAACAGAATGTGGTATATGGATACAATGGAATATTTAAGCATAAAAAGGAATTAAGTTCTGATACATGTTACAACACGAATTGGCCTTAAAAACATGCTAAAGTGAAATAAGCCAGACGCAAAAAGACAAACATTGTATAATCCCCAGTTATGTGAACTCTAGAGTAGTCAAATTCATTGAGACAGAAAGTAGATTAGTGCTTACCAGGGGCTGGGGAGAGGGGAAAGCAAGGAATTATTGCTGAAGGGGTACTGAGTTTCTGCTTGCAGTGATGGAAAACTTTTGGAAATAGTGGTGATAGCTGCACAAGATTGTGAATGTAATATATGCTACTGAAATGTACACTTAAGAATGATTAAAACACCAACTGTTAGGTGTTTTACCAGAATACAAATTTTAAAAAGCATTCATTGAGCATTCATTTACCAAGTATTTATGGGAGTCTCTTCAGCTGACCAGAAAGCTGGCAGTTCAAACCCACCAGCCACTCCTCGGAAGGAAGGTTGGGAAATCTACTTCTGTAGTGCTACTACCTTGAAAATCCAAGGAGGGCTCTCTATGAGTCGGGTCTGACTTGATGGCACATAACAACAACAACTTCTATGCACCAGGAACTCTGGTGGTGCAGTGGTTAAGAGTTTGACCACTAACCGAAAGGTCAGCTGTTCGAACCCACCACCAGCTCCATGAGAGAAAGAGGTAGCAGTGCTTAGAGTAAAGATTTCATCTTAGGAAACCATATGGGGCAGTTCTACTTAAAAGGATCAGAATCTACTCAATGGCACACAACTTCTATGCCTAGGCACTGTTGCTGGGTACTAGCTGTGTCACTCAAAGCAGATCACAAGTTGTATGTTCACACAATGCCGATAAAGATTACTCTGCAAACAAAAATACAAAAAGTAACTATAAAATCTCTTTAAATGAACTGTTGTTAAATTTGGACTATTTTCTGACTCCTTTAATAAACTTAACAGCTTCTCAAAAAAAAAAAAAAAAAGGCACTGTGGTAGTTAAGTTTGTGTGTCAACTTGGCTGGGCCTGGTTGAGTGGCTGGGCAGCTGGATGTAGTATTCCCCGTGATGAGATTGGTAATCAGCTCCATGGTAGAATCTACTGTGAGCAGCTGAGTAGCTGCCTTTGGGATGTGGTCTGCTTCCTGTATATAAGGAGACTTGGGGGAACAGTCTCTAGCTTATGGCATGCTTGAACCCTGCGTGTAGTCATGTTGTTGTTCAGCAGCCTGCCCTGGTCTGCCAACCTTGGGACTTTTGATGGACTTGAATTAATGGCCTGCCATGTGGTTTGGTAACATCAGGATTGTGCCTTTTTATTTGTCAACCTTGGGCTTGGCAGTGTCAGTAGCCAGCAGCTGTCTGAGTGAAGAAGAGCCTCTAGCTCCAGCGGGCCGGAAGCAGGAGGCAGAGCTGAAGCCCAAGATTGAGGGGCTTTCACCCAGCCCCTATAGCCTGGCACTTTGCACTCGGACTTATATCCTTCAGATTGTAAGAGGATAAACTCCTATTTGTTCAGCCATCCCATTTGTGCTATATTCTTGTTAGAGTGGCACTAGGTAACCAGAACATGCACATAAACAAATTTGCCCACAATTTCAGATGGTTCAAGAAGCACAAATTAAGAACTCTGTTTTAAACAGCGTATCATCCTAAACCAAAAACCAAACCAAACTCACTGCAGTGGACCGACTCACAGCGACCCCTCCTTGCGTTTACCAGGCAGTGTCTCTACGGAAGTAGACCGCCCAATCTGCCTACCAAGGAGCGGCTGGTGAGTTTGAACTGCCAGCCTTCTGATTAGCAGTCAAATGCCTTAGGCACACCAGAGTTCCCAGTAGATTTTAAACGGTTAAATTTGCATAAAGCTTTCTCTGAACTACTTCACACCTGTGTATTGAACACTTCAATAAGGGCTCAATGGCTAGACGTGTCTAAAAAAATATTTTAATTTGAAATAATTTTAGGCTTACAAAATAGTTGCAAAAAGCAGAGTTCCCGGATACTCTTCACTCAGAATCTCCAATAGTATCTTATATAACTGTAGTACAATTATTGAAACTACTGATACAATACTGTTAAATATTATGGGTTAATAGACATTGTTCACATTTCGCCAGTTGTCCCATTCACACCCTTTTTCTGTTTCAGGATCCAAGCTATAGTTTCACATTGCGCTTAGTTGTTCTAGACTTGGCTTATTTTTCTCTTTCTCAACCCAACCCTGTACTATGTGTTCTCGGGAAAACTACTCAAAATCTATTTTCTGTCTTAGTACAAGTGATGTAATGAAGAACTAATGGAAAACACATATGAGAAGGACTTGGAAACTTCAAATGTAAATAACTTTTTCTTACTGCTCAAAACTAGATGTAAAAGCGCAGCTCTTTAGTTGGCTAAAACAAAAACAAAGCATAGAGAAGCATACTGATAGTGTAAAGGTGTTTTGTCCCAAAGTAAGACCGGTAGCTTCTCCTCCGGCCGCTGGGAGAGCCTTCTAATTGAGAAGCGTGTGTACGTCATGACGCAGGAAGTCCACCTCATTGGTCTGGACAGTCGGGACAGCGGCTATTCTTTTAGTGCACAAGGCGCAGTCCCACTTCTCTTTCTCTAATCAAGCGCTCCATCTTTCCTTCCGGTGCCCGGACCTGCCAGCTCGAAAGGATCCAGACTGAACGGGGCCGGGTAATTGCTTTGGGATCAGCCGGGAACTAGCGGCGGGCATGGAGTACGGGAGGGAGGATGGTTCTTGGGCCTGGGAGAAACGGCCTAGTCTGCGCTCTCCCCTGCCTCTCACGGTCTTCGCGATTTCCAAGCCTTCTACGCTGGCCTCATCCCCACCGCATTCTCCTGAAGGCTCCCCGCGCCCTCCACTTTCCTTTCACTCGCCCTGCCCTCTCCGGGTGCCCCTCCGCGGCCCTTCCTCCTTTGGCTGCCACCCAGTTGGCTCCGCCCTCATCTCGCCCCTCTGGGCTGGCTCCTTTCTTCCTTGTGGAACGCTGCTCTGCTGTCCCTGCCCTCTGTATCTCAGTGGCCCCACCCTTACCTACCGTCCCTAACCTACTCTCTCCCCGCTCACTGTGCACCCCTTTGACCCATCCCTAGGAGCTCTGGTAGCATTCTTCCAGAATGTTTCTCGCAGCTTCCAGTGCAGAAACCAGGCCTAGTCTATGGTCCTTTAAACATTTCAGAAGTTATTAAAAGTCTTGTCACAGGTCCTTTTAACCAGTAAAAGTTGATAAGGCTTTAGATGCAATCTGTCCAACCCCTTAGGGTGCTGACTGGGAGGCGGAAGCCAGGAGACAGAAGGGTGATTGACTTGGATACACAGCAACTCAGCATCATTCTAGATTTTTCTTTTTGGAATTTTTCCTGGGGGTTCTTACCTAATTTTTCACTTACCCAGAACTTTTAGTTGATACTCACTGCCGTGGAGTCGGACCTGACTCACAGTGACCCCTTCTTGGGTTTCCAAGGCCGTATCTCTAGGGAAGTAGATTACCCAATCTTCCTTCGGAGTGGCTGGCGGGTTTGAACCCCCAGTCTTCTGATTAGGAGTCAGATGCCTTAGATCAAATCTCCAATCAGTAAAGTAGGTTCTTCCTGGTTAAAATACTAGTACAAATATACATTATTCAGAAAACAGCAACTCACACCTTATGTCTCCCAAGTCAGGTAGCTGTGGAGTGTGATCCCCACTCTGCCATTTGCTGTAGAGCTTGGCAAAGAAACGTCCCTTATCTGTGCCTCATTTTACCTTCTATTAAAAGAGCATAGTAAGCCCTGTTTCCCAGAGTCATGGAAGGGGTTCATTAAGAGTCTACTATGAGGAAAATTGCTTTTAGGGTTGAGTAAATAGAATCTTAGCACAATGAGTTGCCTGCTCTTCAACTTCATGTCTGTCTAGCTCAAGCCATCAGAAAGCCTGATATGTTGCCCTCTTCCAGGCATCATGACCACCCTCGATGATAAATTGCTGGGAGAAAAGCTCCAGTACTACTATAGCAGCAGTGAAGATGAGGACAGCGACCGTGAGGACAAGGACAGAGGGGGTGCCCTGGCTGGCAGTTCGATGCCTGTAGAGGCTGAGCTGGCAGGTGAAGGCATCTCAGTTAATACAGGTACTACATAACTCTGAGCTCTGGGAACAGGCTTTAAAAATGTACACTAAATATAGATCAGTCAAATGTTTCCTGATCATTTCTTACTAATTCTAGTCTCACTTAGAGATAACCTCATATTACCATTTCATTATACTTGTTTCTAGCCTTTTTACTGCATAGTACAAATACATAGGTATAGCATCATGGTTGTAATACATACTGGCCTGGGTTTGAATCCTTTTCAAAATACTACTTGTTTGATAATACATAAATCACAGGTATGAGTATATTAGTAGTACAGATTCTCTTTGAAATGGTGTTTTCACGTCTTAATATTGCCAACTTGCTGTCAGTTAAAGTGGCAGACAGTTTTTCTATCCTTTTGCCCTCATCCTATATTATCAAACTTTTTGATTTGTGCCGTCATCTTTCTTTTTAAGAGTGAGGTTGAACCCCTTTTCCTAAGTGTAAGAGATATTTTTATCCCCTTTGCATGTTTTTTTTTCCAGTTGGCTGGTTGGTCTTTTTCTTCTTGGAGAACTCTATATACTTAGGAAATTAATCTGTGGTCAGTTTTACATTTTTCTTTCAGTTTGTTTATCTTTTGACTTTATAGTCTTCTCCTTGCAGAGAATTTTATATTTTCATGTACCTGAAAAGTATTTTATAGTTGTAATTTTTTTTCTTTCTTAAAAGAACTTTCTTTACTCCAAGCTTATAAAAAGAGTCTTCTGTGTTTTTGTGATTTCATTTTTGTAACATTTAACTATTTGATTCATTGGGAATTCATTTCCATGCAAGGTTTGAGGTAGGGGATCAATTGCTGATTTTCCTGTAGCCACCCAGCTGTTCCAACACTGTTAATAATGCATCTTTTCTCCATTGTTTTGAAATGTAATTTTACCATGTACTGCATTTCTGTTTAAATTTGGGTCTTCAGCTGTATTTTATAGTCTTTTCCATTGATTTGTTTATTCCTGGGTCATATTACACTGTTTTAAATTATTGTAGTGTTTGGTTTTAGCATCTGGTAGAGCTGATCTGATCTCTCTTTTAATACTTTCTTAGCATTATCCTAACTTCTGCTTTCTTACTTTCTTCAAAGCAAATTTAGGAGCATGGACACATAGGTATATCTGTGTATTTTCATTGGGAATTCATTAAATATATAGCTTAATTTTTTTATAATCCACACTTTGTGATAATAGGTCTTCCTGTTCAAGAACATGGTATTGCTTTTTCATTTGTTTAAGTCCTGCTTAGCGTTTCTTGATAGTATTTTAAAGTTTTATTCATATAGTTGTTTTTTTAATTTTTTTAATTGTGATTTGGCTCTGGTGGTGTAGTGCCCAAGGCATTTGACTGCGAACCAAAAGGTTTGCGGTTCAAACCCACCAGCCGCTCCTCAGAAGGAAGACTGAACAGTCTACTTCCATAGAGATACCCTGTCGGAAACCCAAGGAGAGGTCGTCGCTATGAGTCGGAATCAACTCGATGGCAATGAGTTTTTTTTTTTTTTTTTTAAATTGTGGTTTGGGTGAAAGTTTACAGAGCAAATTAATTTTCCATATAGCAGTTCATATAGATTTTGTCTCATGACGTTGACTACAATTCCCCACAATGTAACAGCTCTTTTCCCACTTCCTCCCCAGAGTTACCTCTTACCTGTGTCCTTCCCTTCCATGCACTCCTGCCACCCCTCCCCCACCCACCTGTCTCCCTGTGCAGATACTGCCTTTCTTTTCTCCTATGATTGATCACTCCAAAGAGCATATCTATTTGATGTAAATGTTCAGCCTATGTGCCTGTTATTTGTTTGGAAGCCACAGGAATGAGTTCAATTCCGGACCTGAAGGGTAGCTAGGGCCATAGTCTGAGGGGGGTCTCACCAGATTCTATCAGAATATCAAACCTGATCTTTTTTTATGATTTTGAGTTTTCTTCCACATTGTTCTCCTCCTTTATCCAGGATCTCCTGCACTGATCCCATTCCAAGTAGTTGACAGTTGTAGCCATGCAGCATCTAGCCCCTTTGGTCTCATGGTTATATAGGCTGAGGATTGCATGATCCACCAGTCCCTTGGACTAATTGTTTCCATGCTTCCCTGACCTTTATCATTCTTCTTTGCTGTGGATGAGAGAGACCTGTTATTGCATCTAGATGGCCCCTTGCAAGCTTTTAAGAACCCAGTCACTACTCACCAAAATAGGATGTGGAACAGGGCTCTTATGTAGTATGTTATGCCAGTTGATCTTGATGTCCCCTGAGACCATGGTCCCAAGCCTACAAGTGTAACTATGTCTTCTCTTCAGGGAGCTGGCTGTGACCAGAAAGTCACCACAACCTTGTTGCTTGTCAGCTCTGCTAAATGCCTGGACATTCTTACAGCACATACAAGTACTCTTAAAGAAGAAGCATCATCTGCGAACCTTATACATGGTCATGGGCACACTGCCCCGTGCCTAGACATTCCTAATTGTTCAGCCTGTCCACCCATGTATCCGCTTGCAGATCAATATTTGCCATCACTGACAGCACAGTACTGTATACACAAAAGGGTTCATCTTTGCTGTCTGTACCTCTTGTGTACCTCTCTGTGTCTTCCTGTTCCTCAATGCCTTATTCATACAGATATTTATGTTGGTGTTTTGTGGTATCAAATGACCCCCAAATCTCAGTGGCTTATGACAATAAAGATTTATTTTTCATTCATGTTACGTGCTGGCTGTGGGTTAGCAGTGGCTCTGCTTCTGCTCCGTATGTCCTGTCTTTACAGGAGCTAGGCTGAAGGAGCAACTCCTGTGGGGACGTGCCATTTTCAGGCCAGAGCATAGAGTAAGAGAGGGCTATTGGAAACATGTAGTGGTTTATAAAGCTGTTGCTCAGACCAGGCATCTCACATTCCATTGGCCAAAGGAAGTTACATGGCAAGGAGCAGGGATGTATAATCCTCTTAGAGGGCTGGAGGTGGGGGCATGAATAACAGAACAATAATAAAACCTGCCATAGTCTTGTTAAATTCAAGTAATAAAGAAGTATAGGAAGTAATTCCCCCAGATCCTACTACCTCGAGTCAGCCACTGTCAATAGTTTATACTTATTTGTAGCCCATTTTTTATGGACTTACTTATTCACATATTTGTATATGTATATTCGTATGTGTAAATATTCATATATATTTATATACATAAAAGTTGCTTTTATAAAAATCTGATCTGCATTTTGCTTTTGCTTTTTACTTCAATTAATGATATTATTTAATACCTTTCAGATATAGAGCTGCCTCATTCTTTCTCCGGGTTGCTTTGAAAGCCTGAGTAGGTGAACCATAAGTTATTTAACTCATCTCCATGTTGAACATTTGCTTGGGCTTTTAATTACTGCAAACCATGCTGCAGTGGACATCATTGTGTGGAGATCACTTTGCCCCTGTGTAAGCGTTGTTGTGCAATAGATAAAGCTACCTTTAGACAGCTGTGAACTCCTAGCATCTGATCTATAATTCCTTGTCTGTTCCTCTTGGTCACCTCCATGTTCACTTCCATTCAGGTCCAAAAGGTGTGATCAATGACTGGCGCCGTTTCAAGCAATTGGAGACAGAGCAGAGAGAGGAACAGTGCCGGGAGATGGAAAAGCTGATCAAGAAGCTGTCGATGACATGTAGGTCCCATCTGGATGAAGAGGAGGAACAACAGAAGCAGAGTGATCTCCAGGAGAAGATCAGTGGGAAGGTAACTAGTAGCACCCAGGGTTTTCTCAGAAGCTGCCCTGGGTGTGAGAACTGGGGTTAGCGATTTAGGCGGTACAGGGTGTTTGATTTGGCCTCTGAGAAACTGTGCAGTACAGGGGAAAAATACAGAGTCATCCTGTACTCAGATACACCTGGGTTTAAATCGCAGCTTTGCCACTAAGGACTTTAGGAAGATGTCTTCTTCTGAATCTAGTTTTTCATTGATTAAATGAGGTCAGTATGCCTACCTCACAGAACTGTGTGTTTTAAATGTTTGTGACAGTGCCTGACCTATTGCAAGTGCTTTAGTAAGTATCAGTTTCCTGCCCTTTATTGAGGCCTTACTTTGGGCCAGAAACGTAATTTAACAGTATGAGAGTGGTGATGTTATGCCCATTTTTACAGATGAGGAAACCGATACTTATGGAGGTGATTTGCTTAGGGTCACATAAGTACTAAATGGTGGGGCTGGGGTTTTAACCCAGATTTTCCTGTTGTTACTCCACTTCACCTGAAGCCTGTTCATGAGAGTTAATTCTAAAGAGGCAGTACAGTAGAAGCAGATGGATGCTCCGAAAGATACTTGTTTCTGGGTCCTTGACTCCTTTCTTACCTTCCCAGTATTAAACTAACCCATCAAGTTAGTTAAACTGCCATCAAGTCAGTTCCAACTCATAGCAACACTGTAGGACAGCGTAGAACTGCCCCATAGGATTTTCAAGGCTGTAAATCTTTATGGAAGCAGAGTGCCTCATCCTTCTCCCATGGAGTGGCTAATAGCTTTGAACCACTGACCTTTTGGTTAGCAGCCAAACACTTAACCACTGTGCCACCAGGGCTCCTTCGCAATATTAAAAGGACCCTCTTATTTCTCTCATCCCCTCTGGTCATGGATGAATATTTAGGAGTGCCTGAGATCATTAAGTTTTGGCCAAAAGCAGTTGTTCACTGAAAATACCAGTCAGGATCAGGGAACAGGTAAGAGTATTAAGGGGAGTCATTAGCCTTGACCAGGAGAATGATTTCAGGGTATTAGACTCAAGCAAAGACTATATGTAATAGGCCAGAAAGAGCCACTCTGGTAGGCAGCGGTAGAAATGGAGAGTATGAAGATTGGAAGAAAATTGGGAATGATAAGTAAAACAGTGAACTCAGAATGGTGCTGGTTATAACACAGTAACAACATGTTTTCTGTTCTGGTCTCCCAGTCCCCCCACCCCTCAGTCTGTCTGACTGCACCAAGGCAGGAGAAGGAAGAAGCTTTTGTTACTTAAGCTAGATGCCGGGCAGTGAGCCCACTGCAAACAGCTGCTTCCTTATACTGGGGTGAAAGGCCAGAGTGAAGCACCACATCACATGGGTCAGTCCTGAGAGAGGCTGGCTGAGTTATCTGCAGTGGAATTCAACCGGAAAGTGAATGCCAGATGGAGGGGAGTGGTTACACAAAGTATGTCACATAATACAGAATTTAATGAAAAAAAAAAAACTAGAAATATTTATGCTATACTAATGATAAGTAGCAAAAGCAGGTTACAGCTTAATTGACGCATCCATGGCTCCCACTATTAAAGCAAAAACTATATAATTGACTGATGGTAAGTTAAAAAAAAAGAAAATTTTGGGGAGTGTACCTAACTCTGCTTGGTGCTTGCTGGGGCAGGGGGCAGCAGGATGGGGCTTATTGTTCCTTTTAAAGTTCCTTAATGTTCTCTTGTCTCTGCAACAACTCAAAAGTAGTTCTGACTACAGAAAGAAAAAAGAAGTGGCATTACTTGATACTGCCTTTTTGGATTGAGAAGGAATATTATGTAGTAGATAAAAGCCTGGATTGTTTTAAAAACCTGCTTTGAATCCTGTCTTACATTTATTACCTGTGTGAACTTGTGTAGATAACCACAAGTCTTGGAACCTCATTTGTGAAATAGAGATAAGAAAAGTGCCTTCCTCGTGGGGTTGTCATAAGAATTCAATGAGCTATGCATATAAAGCACTTGGCACGGTGCCTCATACGTAGTAAGCACATAGTACTATGTTAACTGCTCAGGTGGTGTTTGGTTCTTCATCTCTTCTCACTTGCTGGTCCTCCTGCAGATGACTATGAAGGAGTTTGCCATGATGAATGAGGACCAAGATGATGAAGAGTTTCTGCAGCAGTACCGGAAACAGAGAATGGAAGAGATGCGGCAGCAGCTTCACAGGGGGCCCCAATTCAAGCAGGTTTTTGAGATCCCCAGTGGAGAAGGGTTTTTAGACATGATTGATAAAGAACAGAAGAGCACCCTCATCATGGTCCATATTTATGAGGATGGCATTCTGGGGACTGAAGCCATGAATGGGTGCATGATCTGCCTCGCTGCAGAGTACCCAGCTGTCAAATTCTGCCGCGTGAAGAGCTCAGTGATTGGGGCCAGCAGTCGCTTCACCAGGAATGCCCTTCCTGCCCTGCTGATCTACAAAGGGGGTGAATTGATTGGCAATTTTGTTCGTGTCACTGACCAGCTGGGGGAAGATTTTTTTGCTGTGGACCTTGAAGCATTTCTCCAGGAATTTGGATTACTCCCAGAAAAGGAAGTCTTGGTGCTGACGTCTGTGCGTAACTCTGCCACCTGTCACAGTGAGGATAGTGATCTGGAAATAGATTGAACTGATAGTCTAGTTGCCCACATCTCATTGTTTGTGCTGGAAGATACACATCTTTGTATTTGTTTATGTTCCTTCGTATGTCTTCTGGCTTTTCAGGTGTTCTTTGTAGTGGCTCTCATTATGTGTAAAGTCAAGAAATGCTTAGATTAAATCAGAATGCTGAATCACCTTTTGGCTAGCAATAAAGAGACTTAAAATTGTATAAACAGGAAGTCAGGCTTTTGAACTATTTACTTAAGATTCTCTAGCATGACCTCTCTCTTACTGTTTCCAATCAATATTTACATAGCATTCTTAACACAGTGTCCTGTAAATTGTCTTCAGATGATCTGAGAGGTCTCTGCCAGGTCTGAAAGTATAATTCTATAGTTAGTGTGTTATTTGTAATGTAAATAGTGTTTTCTTAATCAAATGATTACAAATTTTACACACTTGTAATCAGCTCCATAGCCCTAGAAAGTAGTTAACCCCCCCACCTGTTCAAAGAGCTTGGTGGAGCAGTGGTTAAAATGCTCGCCTGCTAACTGAAAGTTGACAGTTTAAACTCACCAGCCACTCCTTGGGAGAATGATGTGGCAGTCTGCTTTTGTAAAGATTTACAGCCTCGGAAACCGTATGGGGCAGTTCTACTCCATCCTATAGGATCTCCATGAGTTGGAATCAACTTGATGGCAGTGGGTTTGTTTGTAGGTTTGATAGAGCCTGTTCTGTACCAGGGCCTCGTTTAAAGGTTCAAGATGGTGTATGTTTACCCTGTCAAAAGGGGCAACCTCTGCTGCTGGAGTTGATAATTCATAATAATTAAGACATAATTGATAGACATAATAATTAAGTCTGGAATAGTGAGAAGCATTAATGCTAACTTCCTTCTTGATCCTGAAGGGCTGGCTTGACTTAAAAATTAGAGCTGGGATGGAGTTGGGAAGCCCTTTTAAAGGAGGATCTTTCAGTAAGATATTCCTGCTTATACTTCTCTTTTGTCTCTTATTTAACAAGGTAACATTTTGTTTAAGATAGATAGATTGATTGATTTTTAAAATTTCTTTTGACCTGCTCAAAAAGTAATTCATGTTCAATAGAGGAAAATTTACCAAAATATAAAAACAAGAAAGTTAGAATAATCTCTTATCTACCCCCTAGAGTAAAACACTACTAATATTTTAGTGTAGTTCCTCCAAGGTGTTTTGTATGTGTATGTAGAATATTTGTTTTTAAAAAAACAATGGGATCATTCTGAACATACTGTTTTATAGTATGTTCAGAATAGCTTTATCAGACTTTTTTCCATGTTCTCAAATACTTTTCTATAACATTTTTAGTGGCTATTGATTTTACATTATATAGATGTACTTTAGTTTGCTTTGTGGTTATTTCTTAAAGATGTTTTTATTGCAGAAGTAATAATTCCTGTTCATTGTAGAAAATATAAAAATTGAACTAAAAAGAGATTAAAAATCTTCAAAATCCCACCGACCAAAACAAATTCCTATTGTCGTTTTTCACAGGTATCTTTTTAGTCTTCTTTCCTTCTGTATTTATAATGATTGTCATTGGATTTTTTTCCTCTTGTTTTTTTCCTTTAAAAATGTACATTCTGGGATTGAGGAAAATACAATCTGAAATTAAATCTTATCTTTAAAACTCACAGTTTTAATTTTCATGACTTCAGGAATAAACTGTAGCAGAGTTCTGCCAGTAGATTTTGAAAGTAAGTTGTAGTTAACAATAAGAAAGTGCATGATTTTTCTGATTTAAAAAGCATATGCTCATCTTAGAAGTGTAGGAAGGAGAGAAAACTATTAGGAGCAATGACAATTATTGTCATTGTTCTAGCTGTGGTGCAAATGGTTAAGTGCTCAACTACTAGCCAAAAGGTTGGCAGTTCAAACCCACCCAAAGGTGTTTTGGAAGACAGCCCTGGTGATCTGCTTCCAAAAAGTAACAGCCTTGAAAACCCTGTGGAGCACTTCTGCTCTACACACATGGTATTGCCATGAATCACAGTCAACTCAGCAACAATTAACACGGCTTTTCTCAATATTTTTAATAACATTGAGAACTTACCAAACTTAGATCTGTGTCTGTATTATTTAATATTATATCATAAACAATTTATCATGTTATAAAAATTCTAAATAAAATTTTTAAGGGCTTCATAATACTCCATTATTTGAATAGACCATAATTTATTGAACCTAGTCCTTTAATGGGAGCTCTGGTGGCGCAGTGCCTAAGGCACTTGACTGCTAACCAGAATGCTGGCAGTTCACACCTACCAGCCACTCCTCGGAAGGAAGGTTGGGCAATCTACTTCTATAGTGATACTGCCTCAAACTCGAGGAGGGGTCGCTATGAGTTGGATCTGACTCGACAGCACATAACAACAAGAACAATTAGAAAATATTGTCTAGTTAACAAATGTTAAGTGTACACTCATTCTGAGCTCTGTTCTTGGCACTGTTGGAAATACATAAGTATAAGATGGTATCTCTGCCTTTAAGAATTTATGATGATACAGTTGTGGAGACAACATTGAAACAAATGAAGCAGTACTAAAATTGTATTATTAAAGAACAGTAAATTTTCAAATTACTAGCAGAAATATAGGGAGTTCTGGTAGCATAGTGCCTAAGGCACTTGACTGCTAACCAGAAGGCTGGCAGTTCAAACCCACCAGCCACTCCTCGGAAGGAAGGTTGGGCAATCTGCTTCCATAGTGATACCACTTTGGAAGCCCAAGGAGGGGTCACTATGAGTCACAATCAACTTGATGGCAGTGAGTTTTTTTTTTTTAAGTCCTTTAACATTGGAAATTTAGGCACCCTGTTTCTTGCTAAAACACTTAAAGAACATCTTTTTATTTTGGGCCATATTTTGGATTATTTTCATAGGATAAATTCCTAGAAAAGGAATTAATGGGCAATTGAGCAAGGATTTTTTTTATAATTTTTAAAAACAGCTGTTCTCACTAAAAATGAAAATGTATTACACATTTACACATGGAACTTTGACTTTGCCTTTCAGGAGCAGAAATTTTAAAGTGAAGTGACATGTAATGGGGAACTCCTAAAATATTTAATCCCTAACTCAGGTGTGGAAATAGCATGGGCTTTGAAGTCAAATCCAGGTTTGAGCCCTTTTTCTGTTGGTCACTAGTAGTGTACTTTCTTGAGAGGCATCTAGCCTTCCTGAAGCTCAGTTTTCTCATCATTATAAATAATAACAAAAATGCCTGTTTCATGGGATGGTTCTGTGACAGTGGTTCTCTATGAGTGGTCTCCACACAAGCAGCATTAGCATCACCAGGGAACTGGGTAAAAATGCAAATTCTCAGGTTTCACCAGAGACCTACTGAATCAAATTTTGGTGGTGACCCAGAAAGCTTTTTACAGCCCTCTAGGTGATTCTGAGGCTCACTAAAGTTTGAGAACCACTGACATGGATTACGGTGAGTGACAGCATGTCACAACACAAGTGCTCACTAATGTTGGCTTCCTTTAAGAGGAATGGAGAGAGTTGTTGAAATAGAGGAGAGTGTTCAGAGGGCATCTCTTACTCTCCATTTTATGATTCTCTTTTTCAGTCATGTAATTGGGAGAAGGCAAAAGAAACTAAAATTTGTCTATCACAAACTGGGTCCCCAGAGTTTTCCATATTTCACTTTCTTCTGGAATGAAAGTCTCATGAGAGTACTGACTTTATTTTTCTCCCTACTGTATAGTAGTTAAAGGTCCAGGCTCTGGAAATAGGTTGCCATTTATTAGTTTTGTGTGCAAGGTAATGACTTCCATACCTCAGTTTTCTCATCTGTGAAATGGATAAGTAATGTGAGTCAATTACGTAAAGTACTTACAACAAGCCTATCGCACAGCCTTCAAATAAGCATCCGATTTTATTGTGCCTGGCACTTGTTAAGAATGAACATATATTTTATTCTCATTGAATGTCCCATCCTTTCAATGTAGGAAGTAGTAACTTTCAAGTTGTACAGTTAGTGGCCTGGGGCAGGATTTGAAATTAAGTCAGTCTAGTTCCAAACTAAGGAGCTCTGGTAGCATGGTGCCTAAGGCACTTGACTGCTAACCAGAAGGCTGATGATTCAAACCCACCAGCCACTCCTCAGAAGGAAGGTTGGGCAATCTACTTCCGTAGTGATACT